GTCTTTGGAGGCCAAATCAGAGTAGGAATAAAGGACCAACCTCCTTAAAGCCAAAGTTGCCCATTATGAAGGGAAGGCAATAAACAGCGAGCCAGTCGAGCCTTCCTCTCTGCACCCTCAAGTGCATTAAAAGACCTGATTCCACAGTGCCAGCACCAGGAAAGAACATCTTGAGGACAGGCCCACTCTGCCCAAAATCCAGGTCACCTCTTCTATTCTCCCTCTCCAGATATTTGTGTGGGGCCTCTTCCCCCTGTCTTGACACCCAAGTCGCTACTCCTTAGCATCTACTGCATACGTGTGAAATTTACTGTTCCTATAGTAGTACAACCACATATATCTTAGGGTTTTTTTTTTTTTGAGATGGAGTCTGGCTCTGTTGCCCAGGCTGGAGTGCAGTGGCACAATCTCGGCTCACTGCAAGCTCCGCCTCCCGGGTTCACGCCATTCTCCTGCCTCAGCCTCCTGAGTAGCTGGGACTACAGGCGCCCGCCACCACGCCCGGCTAATTTTTTGTATTTTTTAATAGAGACGGGGTTTCACCGTGGTCTCGATCTCCTGACCTTGTGATCCGCCCGCCTCGGCCTCCCAAAGTGCTAGGATTACAGGTGTGAGCCACCGCGCCCGGCAGGGTTTTAAAATGAGTAAAAAAGCCAGATGTGGTAGCTCACGCCTGTAAACCCAGCACTTTGGGAGACCAAGTCGGGCAGACTGCTTGAGCCCAGGAATTCAAGACCAGCCTAGGCAACATGGGAAAACCCCGTCTCTACAAAAAATACAAAAATGAAAGGCCGGGAGCGGTGGCTCATGCCTGTAATCCCAATACTTTGGAAGGCTGAGGCCGGCAGATCACAAGGTCAGGAGATCGAGACCATCCTGGTTAACATGGTGAAACCCCGTCTCTACTAAACAAAAAAATACAAAAAATTAGCCGGGCATGGTGGCGGGTGCCTGTAGTCCCAGCTACTCGGGAGGCTGAGGCAGGAGAATGGTGCGAACCCAGGAGGCAGAGCTTGCAGTGAGCCGAGATCGCGCCACTGCACTCCAGCCTGGATGACAGAGCGAGACTCCGTCTCAAAAATAATACACAAAAATGAGCCAGGTAAGGTGGCACATGCCTGTAATCCCAGCTATTCAGGAGGCTGAGGCAGGAGAATCACCTGAGCCCAGGAAGTCGAACTGCAGTGAGCCGTGATGGCACCACTGCACTCCACCCTTGGCAACTGGAGTGAGACCCTGTCTTTAAATACACCAATGAGTCAAAAACGAGCCTGTCAAATTGTTACCTTTATTTAGGGGCCCTCCATCTCAACACCACATAACCTTGGGGGAGGTCAAGGAAGCTATGTCAGCTTTCTACCAGAAAAGAGCCTCCAGGAAGACACAGACTTTACTCATTAGCCTAATTTTGTGAGTCTTAGTGCCACCACATGTATCTATGGTATCTGCAGAGAGTCAATAGTAGTGGTGGTGAAGAGAATATGCTTGGAGCCAGACACACACTGGCTTAACCACTATCTGTCTCACTGAGGGACTGTGAGCAAATGGCTCCACTTCTCCGAGCCACCTCTGCCATCTATAAAATCAGAAGCAATACCCCCAAGGTCAAAGGGAGCTGCAGGAACTCAGTGAGGTTACAACTTCCCAATCCCTGAGTGTTCACCCTGTGAACCAGCTACTTTCTGAAGCAACTTAACAGGCATTATCTCATCTCACGTCACAGCTACCCTCTCCAGAAGGTTCTATCATCCCCTGGCCAAATGAGAAAACCCTACCTCAGAATTGAATCTGTGACAGTGCCAGGATTCAGCCCTGGTCTATCAGCCTGCAAAGTTAGCTCTAATATATTTATGTAATGCTTGGTTCAGTGTAAGTGCTTGGGAAACAGACTTCTATCCTGACATTGTTATGACTCGTGGTACCAGCCATGAACCCACCATCTTCTAAAGGAAACTCACAGTCTTTACTAGGGTCGCAGGTGGCTTTCACTGGGGAAGCCTAAGGATTGGAAGACGCCCCTGGTGAGCAAGAACTTACAAAAGAAAAGGAAGTAGCAGGTAGTGAGCTACAGGAAGAAAGGAGAGAAGAGTAAGAGAAAGAAAAACACATTAAAAATGGTAAAGCTCCCCACATTTTAAAGCTCATAAAGTTCTCATCGAATATTTGGATTACTTGTAGTCTTGGCCTCTGCTTCAGAGAAATCACACCCTCAGGCAAGTGTATCTATAACCTCACTACTGAAGTGTGCTCTGGCCCGCAGGATCAGTGCCCCCCCGGGAAGGTGGTCAGAAATATAGGATCTCGGCTGGGCGCGGTGGCTCATACCTATAATCCCAGCACTTTGGGGGGCTGAGGTGGGCGGATCACCTGAGGTCAGGAGTTCGAGACCAGCTGGCCAACATGGTGAAACCCTGTCTCTGCTAAAAATACAAAAATGAGCTAGGCATGGTGGTGTATGCCTGTAATCCCAGCTACCTGGGAGGCTGAAGCAGGAGAATCGCTTGAATACGGGAGGCGGAGGTTGCAGTGAGCCGAGACTGCACCACTGCACTCCAGCCTGGGCGACAGAGTGAGACTTCGTCCCAAAAACAAAAAAATTAAATTAAAAAAAAAGAAAGAAAGAAATGCAGGATCTCAGCCTCCACTCCAAAGTCGCTGAAACAGAATCCGCGTTTTATCAAGACCCCACTGACCTAACACATTGAAGCTGGGCTGCACTGACCATAATTCATCCTAGCTTCTCTACGCACAATCACTCATTTCTGCCCGAACAACCCAGTTTCCCTAAGTTTTCCACAAGAGATTTGGGCGGTAAACAGTACCTCTTGCCAATTCCTATGGAGGTTTGTAAACGCTTTAAGTCATGGTGGGAATGAGCAGGTCGCCAAATACACCCGTTTCCGGTGGGTTATTTGGACCAAGCTTCTCATCAGCCTCTTATCCTACTTCGCTTTTCAAGAGATGTTCATGTTGAACCAAAAACGGAGACTTTAAAAAGTATCTTTTCAGGGCAGAGCTGGGCAACAATGATATTGGGCATCAATCCACAAAGGTGAACTAAGTCACTCAATTAGAGGAATGAAATCAAGCCTTTAATCCAACACCATAGCAGCACCATCTGTGGAAATGCTAATTACCCTTCTAGCTCCAGCGCCTTGTCTTCCAACACTCCATCATTACCTTGGCAGTGCTTTCCATACCAAGGGTACCAAATGGCTTGAGGAAGGACATCCGTACCTTTAATGCCCATGGCTAGCTTTAAACACTTCTGTAATCAATTTTATTGCGTTACAAATGATTTCCCTGGATTTATTTGTCTTTTCTACCCTGGCAGGCTCAGCCTCAAGTCACTGAGGATGCCTCCTGTCCCAGTTAAGATTCTGGCTGTAAAACTGCCTGGCCAAACAATATCAATTGCTTGTCAATAATTAGGATGCCAAATCACAGGTAAGGTGATGATACCCTTTCCCACAGATGGAAAGGGAGCAGCTATAAACGGATAATATTTCCCACTAGCCTAATGAAGGCTCCCAAACATCTGGTGGCTCTAGCAGACAGCGATGAGGCATCGATGCCAGTCACAGCCACTATCAAAGGAAATGGTGTGCAGGTCCAAAAGCCGGCAGGCAGACTGGTACCAGACAAGGTACCACGTTGCTACTGGTCTAATTAAATAAGCACTTCCACAAGAATAAGACTATACTGCCTGAAGCTGTGTTTTGGCATCCATTCTCACAAAAAAAAAAAAAGAATTCTGAGCTGCTTTGAGAGGCCTTCAAAGAGCTCACTTCTTTTGCCAAGTCGTTCTACAAGGAAGCTAACAGAGGAGAGATTTTTCAAAAGTCAGACCCCACCTCAGGCACAACCACATTCTCTTAAGTGTACCATGAGGATTGGAGCCAGAGGTCTGTGTCAGTCAGAAGGCCAAGCTGGTTCACAACACCAGGAATATACGGAGGGGAACAAAGATCTTAACTGGCTACTTTTAATTTCAAAGTCAGCCCTGAGAACATCCACAAAAACATTGCATGCATTTCCTATGGAACCCTGCTAAAATCAGACACGCCAGAGCCCCAGCACTTTCTGAATTGTAAGAGTTAAATTTGGGGATGTACAGAAAGGCATGCCACCTCCATATCCAAGTGACAAACTCACCACTGACTTGCCTTGCAGTATTTGCCAAGTTCCAAAATAGCGAGTTCAAGCCAATTCCCTATATCCTTCTAGGAATCATCAGTCTACATATGGCAACAGAAGAGTCGGCCCATATTGTTTCTCCCTGAAACCTGCCTACAACCTGCTGAGTTCCCATATGTGGATTACTAAATCCTAGAAGGTTAGAAAGGGATTGGCTCTGAGTCTCATGTAACTTTCCTACCTCCATGGGAAAATAGTTCAGTTTAGCTATCCTGTTGGAATCATATCAAGTCTTTCTGAAATGTTCACAGTAACACCTGGCAGGAGAGATCTAATAGCACAGAAGATAGAGCCAAAAGCTTTTGTTCTTACATCTAGGTCAAAGGAAGACAATACCTCTTCTGTAATTAAGGCAGACCGGAAAAAAACAAAGCAGAGGGATTCCCATCACCACGGGGGACTTGGGTAAGCAATGTGGGGACATAACCAAGATACAAATGGCAGCGGACCCAGGAATTAAGTAGAGCCTAAGCCAGAGCTTGCCATTACTATTAAAAGTCTAGCAACTATTGAAGACCTGTTATGCACAGGACACTGTACTAGGCACTCATATGTCTAACCATAATCCTGTGAGAGGGTATGATGAGCCCCATTTCATAGAGGAGAAAACAGACTCAGAGAAGTTAAACAGCTTGACCAAGGTCACACAGCCAATAAAAGGTGGAGGAGGAACTCTCATTTATAAGGTCAAAACCCACTCTCCACCTTGCTCTGCTCTTGAGATGTAAGACAAAAGTAACTGGAACAGCCCTTCACAGCCCCGCTCAGGACACCCAGGATCCCACCCCATAGGGCCTTCCTACCTCCAGTCAGTTCCATTGTCAGCTTTTCATTTTCAATCATTTTCTTCTTTTCTTCTAGCTCAGCAATCAGGTTCTCTTTCAGCTCAACCTTCTTGTCTTCAAATTCCTTCACTGCTGCCTTCTTTTCTTTAATGTAATTTCGTTCCACTTGTTCAGTCTGAGCAAAAGAGAAACACAGGCTGGGAGTACACGGCCCTGGAAGCCATGGCTCCAACTCAAAGTCTAGCCCTGTCCTCAACAGCAAAGAAAACACCTTTGCTGGAAACATGACACACAGAGTTTCCCTCTCACACACACGCTTGCAGTAACGGCGTGTCTGAGAGCAAGCTTTCCAATGAATGTGTAAAATCAGACCCACATGACTTTTGCTTATTTTTGAGTATACCTCACTTGCTATGCAGATATTTTTCTCTCATCCACATCCTATATTTTATACTAAAACACATTTCTCAAAGGGAGTAAATAATCGCTCATGAAGTTACAGCTTCAAAGGGAAATAGGAGATTCTACATTGTGTATATTCAAAAAATAATCACAAGATATTGAGGCCAGATAGCATAAGTTACTATTATTTTTGATACAGCAAGACAAAAGAATGGAACATCATTTAGTGTCTGAACCCCAAAGTACACAAATATTGATATTATACTAAGACAAAAGTTGTATATGCCTCTGCTTTTCAAATCTCGCCATTGTGGTGAGTGACATCGGGGCCTGTGGTGGGCTAGGGATGTGTGTACCTCACTTGAGTATACCTTCAGGCTGATCACGTGATCCTTCCAGCTGAGTGACTATGGGCATCAAATTGATTTAAGGAAAGTGGGTTCCAATAATGTGGCTCTGAAAAACCACGACTTTCTCCAAAAGTGACCCCCACACACATGCTAGCCACCCTGGGAGCAGTACATCACTAAAGATACAGGCCCTCATCTCTGGATCACAGCACAGAGTCTGACACAGAACCAGCACTCAGGTGTCCATAGAATGAAAGGAAAAATTAGAAATCTGTCTTTTTTTACTGGCTCAGAGAGTTGCAGCTGTAAAACAGAACTGCTGAGCCGATTCAGAGACTGAACTGCTTCAAGGACCAATATCAAACTATTAGGCCGTTATAACTTAGAGACTTCCAAACAGCTCTAATGCGGGATAAAAGTCAATAAGCAGTGAGGGGTGAGTATTCCTTATTCCCTTGTGATAAGCAGAGGCTGCTCAACAACAAATGACCAGACAGGATGTCTGAGCTGAGACCAAATGTCCTTTAGTCAAACAGAACAGTGGTGAAGGCTTCCAAACCATCTACTTGGTGCTAGAAGGAAAAGCCACCAGATCAGGACTGCAAGATTCCAGTCTCAGAAAGGGCCTGCAAACCCAGAAGATCTGTGGTACTTACTTCCAGCTGGAGGAAGAGTTCTGCAAGAGATAAAAAGTGTAATTAGATTTGCTAGGCTGTGCCACCTTTCTAGACAGTGATGTTAGCATTCATTTAGAAGCGGTAATTGCTTTCTGAAAGCATGTTACACAGAGCAAATGTTTTCATCAGTGAAATGCTGATATACACGAAGGAAAAGGACGCAAGAAGTACTCAAGTCTAGTTAAAATGTGGCCCTGCCAGCCAGCCAACATGGCGAAACCCGTCTCTACTAAAAATACAAAAATTAGCCAGGCATGGTGGCAAGCACCTGTAATCCCAACTACTCGAGAGGCTGAGGCAGGCAGGAGACTCACTTGAACCTGAGAGGCAGAGGTTGCAGTGAGCCGAGATTGTGCCACTGTACTACAGCCTGGGTGACAGAGCGAAACCTGGTCAAAAAAAAAAAAAAAAATATGTGGCCCTGAACATACCAGCAGTGGCAGTTCCACCTGAGGGTAAAAAACGTGCAGCAGGAACGAAACTCCCCTGGCAAAATAAACTTATCCCTTCTTTCACTCAGTCCAGCCGCCAACAGTTTCCACAGTAGCAGGATGGGTCAAGAAGAAATAATGTAATTACTCCAGAAACAGAGTGGGTATGACGTTTTAAGGCAGTGGTCCCCAACCTTTTTGTCACCAGGGACCAGTTTGGTGGAAGACAATTCTCCCACGGACTGGGACAGGGCAGGGGGTCAGGCGTTAGGTGAAGGGAGGCAGCCCAGTGTTCTGCAGCCTGGGGGCTGGCGACCCCTGGTTTTTTTGGTGGGGTTGGTTTTTTTGAGAAAGAGTCTCACTCTGTCACCCAGGCTGAAGTGCAGTGCCATGATCTTGACTCACAGCAACCTTCACGTCCTGGGTTCAAGCAATTCTACTGCTTCAGCCTCCCAAGTAGCTGGGATTAATGGTGCGAACCAGCACGCCTGGCTAATTTTTGTATTTTTAGTAGAGACGGGGTTTCACCATGTTGCCCAGGCTGGTCTTGAACTCCTGACCTCAGGTGATCCACCGGCCTCAGCTCCCAGAGTGCTGGGATTACAAGCGTGAGCCACTACATCTGGCCAAGACCCCCTTTTTAAAGCACTATATGAAAGACTATGTGTGGTAAGGAAGGACCTTCACAGACAATCCACAGGACAGAGGCTCCAGGCACACCTGAGGTTTCACTGTCAGGTCGCCAAGTTCTGCTCACACTGGTGTCTGCCCCCGCAATGCCCTCTGATCTCCTATTCACATTCCCAAGTTCCTGACCGAACGCAGCCCCCTCCTGAGGCCTTTCCTGCTGACTCTTCACACATCATGCCCTTCAGATGCCTTAAAGCACCCATCTAACAGCACTCAACAACTTAGTTACACCTACCATGTGCCGGATGATTAGTAACCGTTACCTAGCAGCTCCCCTCACCACCAGATTTACAATAGAGTACAAACCTGTCTACAAACCCGCACCAACTTGAAGTAAAACTGCTTCATGGTTTCTACTCTTTCCTGGGTGACACAGGGCTGTGCATACAGTCCACAAAGATTCTCCAGGGGGTGCTATTCTCAGTCTACCATGGGCCCCTTTGTAAACCTGGCAAATGCTATGAATCCCTTCCCCAGAAAAAAGGACATATACAAACTCCACAGAACGCTGACAGTTCCAGGAACCCCAGATTAAAAGCCCAGATGTTGATTAATAGTTGTTGACAGAGAAAATTAATTGAGGAAAGGGACAAGCCACTCATTATTTGTTTAGCCCCCGAAATCCTACCCACTTTGGCACTGGGAATTGCTGGGCATAGGAACCCAGGCACACCCAACTCAACGTGATCATTCCTGTAACAACTTCAGACCCGTACCATGCACAAGTGGGCCAGACAGCTGGAGTTCTGTGCCATTCCGAGAAATCATGCCTTGCACCAACAAGCTAAAATGACAATTAGCACTTAGAGGTGGCAGTGGTTTTAGTTAAAGCAGCCAGACATCACTAAAGCAGGTGGATCATCTCTGCAAAGAATGTGCTTTTTAAAGCTCAAGTCGTGACTGATTTAGAAGCTCTTCTGCATTTTTACCTAGGAGAGGGAAATGTGAAAGAACACATGAGGGCCAGGCACATTGGCTCATGCCTGTAATCCCAACACTTTGGGAGGCCAAGGCGAGCTGGGCGGATCACCTGAGGTCAGGAGTTCGAGACCAGCCTGGCCAACACAGTGAAATCCTATCTCTACTAAAATTACAAAATTAGCCAGGTGTGGTGGCAGGCGCCTGTAATTCCAGCAACTTGGGAGGCTGAGGCACAAGAATTCCTTGAACCCGGGATGTGGAGGTTGCAGTGAGCTGAGAGAGCACCACCACACTCCAGCCTAGGCGACAGAGTGAGACTCTGTCTCAAAAAAAAGAAAGAAAGAAAGAACACGCGAGGACATGATTGAGAGTCTGCGCAGAATGAAGAAAAACAACTCAATACTCACTCTGCTGTTCTAACTTCAGAAATATGACTCACATCCATTTTCTTTCCTGATTTCCATCTTATGCCAATTCCATGAGGTATTAATATTCCCCTCTATAGATGGGGAAATTGAGGTTTCAAGAGCAAATATTCTGCTTAAAGGATCACATCTAAAGTGAGGAGGCAGGATCTGAACCTAAGACCACCTCTTTCCACAAATGCCACCTTCTTTATCTGCTAAAGGGGAAGTCTAGGAAGAGCAACCGGTTGAGGATTTTCAAGACATCTCAAGGAGGAGCTTCAGGAACTCAGAGTAGAATGGGGGTAATAGCAGGGAGAGGCAGGAGGTGGAAAGGCAGAGAGCTAATAGCTGGGGCTCTACTTTCTCAGCGCTCACACGCACTTCAGCCCCTTTTCTATCTGTTGGTATGCACTGGGCAGCTTCTCACTGAGGAGAGATAGTGAAGGGTTAGAGAGTCACTGGCCCAGAATGAAAGATGACGGCGGCATGAGGAATGGCACCCCACCCGCATTCTAAAACCCATCATTACTCTACCATCGCAGGAACAAGGACTCTGCTGGCACCCAAACTGCTGGCCGATGATGAGTGTTAAAAACTCAACACATACACGAGATTTCCTGTAATCTCAGGAATTCAAGTTTATACACTTTAAACAGTTGTCACATCTTACTTTCTGCATGGTTCTTTAACTCGGTCTTCCTTAACTTTACACATGTGGTATCTTTTGTCAATGAAACACCAAGTTTCCTCAAGTCAAAGCAATGCGTTACATGACTTTACACTGTTCGCAGTGCTTAGATGTAGCAGGTGCTTAATTCATTTTTGCTGAATGAATACATTTACTGTATACAACCAACCAAAAGTGTGCCTTCTCTCTAAATTCTTATAGAAACAATACTTGGGGAAAATAACAAGAGGACCCTCCCCAATCCTAGCACAGAATACCAAAAGAAACAAACTTAAAATGGGACAAAAACAACCCACAATCCTTTTCCTCAGCCACACTTCTGATTGTACACCAGGCCAGCCATGCAGCCATGAGCAAGAGTTGCAGGTGCAAGACTACTCTTGGGGTACCAGAGAGAACAACCGAACTGCAAGGAGCCTCCTCAGACATCCTCCACTACTGGGCCATTCCTTAGCAAAAGATGAAACCACTTTCCATAACCACAGTTTGGAAGTCTCTTTTTCGAAAACTCTCCCTGACAGAACATCTGGGACACGTTTTGGAGAACAGCTCTTAGGGCTACATTACTCTGATGATCGGCAAACGGTGGAACATTTAAAGATGATTCATTTCCATTTAAAGGAGCCTTACCTGCATTCCGTATCCTCTCTTTGTACTGCTGATCTAGTTTTTTCATTCTCTTCTGGTATTCCTGTAATGTACCTGATTTCGAACATTTAAAAAATAAAATTATTGTGAATATCAATCTGCCCTACATTTTGTTTCCTAAAATTATTCTGTAGCATCAACACTGACTGTTTCACTAACACCAAAGGAAGACATACCTCCGCAGAGTTAACTCTGGTTCTTAACCAAGGCACACAGCAGAAACCACTAGGGGCCTATTTAAAGTCCACCCAACCCAGTGGATCAAGGGTCTGCAGTGAGTGAGGGGGAGTGCAACAGTGCCAACATCTCCACACTGTTCTGATCAGTTGCCGCAACAGTCTGAATCAACGGGCCTTCCTTTACTGGAAAAGGTTCGTTCTCCTTCAGTAAGGTCTAGATCAATGCTCTCCAGTAGAACCTTCTGCAATGGTATAACGTTTTATATTTGCAATGTCCAATATGGCAGCCACTAACCATTTTGTGGCTATTTTAGCACTTGAAATGTAGCTAGTGGAACTGAAGAACTAAATTATTAATTAAATTTAAACAGCCACATGTGGCTAGTGACAACATTAAACAGATCAGGTATAGATTCTAACCAAATCACTATTCATTCCATTGCTCTTCCCACAAAACAGTTAATTATGAGGGGCACATCTTGTGGGGGAAGTGTTTCCTGATTATAATGCCCAACCTTGGGCTAGTCCAAGGGTGTGGATCACTCACAAGCAATAAAAGCACATACTAGAAAAAGCAGTTTCAAGCCAGGCACGGTGGCTCATGCCTGTAATCCCAGCACTTTGGGAGGCGGAGGTGGGTGGATCACCTGATGTCGGGAGTTCAAGACCAGCCTGGCCAACGTGGTGAAACCCTGTCTCTACTAAAAATACAAGAAATCAGCCGGGCCTGGTGGCGGGTGTCTGTAATCCCAGCTACTTGGGAGGCTGATGCAGGAGAATCGCTTGAACCCAGAAGGTGGAGGTTGCAGTGAGCCGAGATCGCGCCTCTGTACTCCAGCCTAGGTGACCAAAGCGAAACTCAGCCTCGGG